CTCTCTCTCTCTCTCTCTCTCTCTCTCTCTCTCTCTCTCTCTCTCTCTCTCTTTCTCTCCCTCCCACACGAGAGAAAGCTGCGCGGGCGGGAGAAAAGGCCCGAGAGAGAACATAGATATATACACATAGATTTTCTTCGCCGTAGAGGCGGGATCGGATGGAATCGTGGAGGGCCTCCGCCGCCCCTACCTTTCGAGCGTGTGCTTATCGGATGCACCCGAGCATTTTTTCCTCGTTGCCTTGCGAAGAGGCAGGTAGGTTGGTAGGTAAGGCAGTCAGGTTGCTAGGAATGCGCATACAAGGGAATTAGACCATAATCGTCCACGCGTGTGTGCGTGTATGTACATGCTTCTGCCGCGAAAGGGGACGTTTTTCCGCGCCTGCCTTTGAATCTCGATGTTCACTCATCACCCTCACTCTCACCCTCACCCTCACCCTCACCCTCACCCTCGCAAACCAATCTTGACCTCATCGCATGGCAGATTACGCCTGGCTCTTTGAGTGCGGAAAAGTCGTCAGATATTAATAAACTGTTTTCATTGCTTCTCCACAAAATGGCGGTACACAATTATGCAATGATTGGAACTGTGTATATCGATAAAAACTTGAGTGAAAAAACAACGGCAATAATTATGATTCTGATCTAGACATTAATCAATCGCGATCTAGAGTTTAAAAACTTACGTAAATAAAAAATACGATAAATTTCTTAATTCATACTTAATTAGCTTCGTTAGAATAAATTGCGGGCGAACGTCCATTTCGCAGAAGAAAGTTTCTGCAGTTTTTGCTAATTGGAAAGGTACCATACACCGAATTCGTTAGTTATTCAAGCGTTCGGTGTTTAAACTGTTGAAAAGTTTTTTGCAATCCATCGGTCCTCTGTGCTACCCAATGTTTTTTCAGTCTATCGGCAATTTCTTAACTTTACTTATACGAGTATTAAGTAATTATTCGTTTTACTAGTTTTAATTACTGTTCCATTAGTTTAAAATGTTGTGTACTATTTTAACTTTTGCATTTATTGTATTAACTTTTTAATTTCACAGACAACGATTTATTTTTGAATGACAATCATAACAAAAATATTCGCTTTAATTTTTATTTTTGATATTTAATTAGCCACTAATTATGCAATCGTGCAATTAGTATGCATGATTGTATTTTTTAAATAATTTTTTAAAATAATTATTGTTTTCCTTTTTCGCCACACTCGTCGATAAAGATGATAAGCGTTTATTTGCGGTTACCATATGTTTTCGGGGGAATGTATCGTATGTCGGTAAGCACAAATTTTCTGAAGATAATGCAGTTTTCTACACGTATTTTATATAATTCGAATGAAATATTTTTATTATTGAAGAGACAATAATTTTTCACGAAGTTGCATGATTTCTATTGCAACACGGAAATATCATAATTTTTTTCTGTAAATTTTGTTAGGTCATCCCAATTTATTAAAAAAATTTACGGATAAAGCAGTAACGTTATCGACGTGCAATGAAGATGTCGTCTCTATCTTATAGGATATTGAAAATGGAAGACTATCTAAAAGCTTTACATGTCTTCTGTATAAAAACGTTTCATGTATAACCACCGTAAAGAAACCACACATATATTTGTATACGTTCCGCATTTTTATCATTTTATCAACAAAACACGATTACAATGTTTTATTAATTTATAGTTAAATAATAAATTAAATTTCTCAAGAACGTGTGTGTCATCTGCGTGAAATATAGTTGTCAATACAAATGATTAATACTGAAAAGGGTAAAGAAATCGAATTGACAGAAACATCATCGGATAAGTGGCGAGATGATTAGAGGTCAACGATCTTACGTTACTCGAATTCAGATCTATATGCCTTTCTATCCTAGAACAGTTCGAAACACTTTATATACACGGCGCATCCAGAATCTAATCTAACACGCTCCGGCCATGGAAGTTATACTTTTATTACCGGTTCTATTGAACTTAACGAGGTCAATTGAGGCGATACGCCATTGCCTTGATTTTACGATAGCCGAACGCGATGCGGCGATAAACGGCGATCCCGCCGACCATAAATTGTGATCCACCCACGCGTTTAACAGCTCCCTTTTCGTTTTCAGCACCTGTACCACCTGCAGACCGGCGAAGGGGCGTTCCGTGAACGCGGGAGGGGGCGAGGCAAGGGCGCCACGAGGGTGAGTAATGCGTCTCGATTCAATTCTACTTTCCATAATTCAATTCTTAACTTGACAATATAAATGGCACGTGACGTGACTGATAACTGTAAAAGTATACATATATATTCGAAATGGAATAATAACTTATATATTACGATTGTAATAGTAAATTCTCTATACAGAATTATTGTGTTCTTCCAACTTTCAAATCCCCTACATAAATTACGAGGGATATTGTATTATCGTCACGTTGGCTTATTCTCGGATATTTCTGCAGAGCGTAAAGATTCAAGGATAAATTAACTTTCCGGAGCTGGCGACGCCGAAATCTGTAATACAATTGCTAACGCTGGGTCTGTAATTTAATTTAAATGTTAATTAGAAAGCATTAATTATTTTCTGGGAGCCAACTTATATATAATATTAAAGAAAAGAATGAATATTTATATTTTAATAAGAATAATCCAAATTTGCTGCGGTAAAGAAAATTGCATCGCTTAACATTTTTAATAAAGAGATTTTGTTAATTGAAATGGATCGAATTGACCTCCAATTCCGGAGACTCGAAGCTGTAATTGCGCGAGCTGTGTGTGACGCGGTGGAAAAAAATAATTATGAAAATGATTGTCTATCGAAACGGATCGACGGAAATCGATAAATGGTAATCTATCATATATATATTCTTAATTGTCTGAGATGCCGCGCCGTAATGTGTTTAACTCTACTTCGCTCACGCACAGGCCAGCTATCCCTCGGTACCGGCTGTACGGAGTTTCAGAACTGATATTAAGCAAGGTGGTATTGATCGACGCACGTTGCGCCTGTCCGCGTTACTGCACCGCCATGTTTAAAATCCGCTTCTGCCTTAAAGCTGTCGTGCGGACTTGAGCACGCATGCGGCGAAGTGACGGCGCGAGCAACTTTATTTCGTCATCCTTGGGGGCGTTCAGCATTCAATTTTCATTTTCTCGCGAAGACACGGATGTCGATATTCAATTCGATGTTACCTACAGGGATCAATCGTGTAACTTTCCCTCCGAAACGGAAACGTGAAAAGTGAAAATTTTTTCGTATATATGTGTGTGTTCATTCATACGTGCACGAAAATGTTCACTTTTCACTTGATCTCCGTGTTGGGGAACAAGTTCACGCGATTAACCCTCTGATCGTAACGTCATCAAACTGATTCACGATCCAGAATCGAGTTGCTCCTCACTTCGATTACACTTGTAGAGCCTCCCTTGTCCCAAGGCAAGAGAACGGGGTGTATAGTTTCCTATTCTTTTTCGAATTTTCCGTTATTCACCGGGTTTAGCACGTAAGAGCGTAAAGAAATCGGCCCGGCGACCCACACGGGGCCTTTCCTTATCTAATCTGTCAGCATGTGTGGATAAGATATAGCTCCACATTCCTATATTTAATCGCCCTGGTAAAATAAGATAGGGCCACACTTGTATATATCCGCTAAACCCCAAGTTATAACGCGCCTCTCATTTCTTTTTCCTCCTTTAACTCCGCGTGTCCCTTGCGTTTTCTCTTTACGGATCTATTTTGTATGAATCGTCATCGTATCACAACAAAGTACAGCACAAAACGTACACACACTCGTGCGTGGAAGTGTAACGATCTAAAAAGAAAAAAAAATGAGAAGGAGCTACGCAAACGTGACAGCGTACTATGTGTAATATAGTAATAAGACGAGGAAAATCCTTGGCGGGCAAAGATCAGCGAACTGTAAGGAAGGCTTAAGGGTAAATCCGTGAGGCGCGGTCTTTCGAGGACTCGTTTATTAACGTCCCTGCAACTTGTTGCTGAGCGCGTTGCCATGTCGGCCCTTTTGACCTCTTTCAGGGCATCTCTATCTACGTCGGCCCTCTTAACGACGCGACGCCTGTGGAGGGACGAGTCTCTCTCTCGGTCGGATCGATTATCCGTTAGCAATTGAAACTGATTGAAACATCTGTCTTTTTTTCTCTCTTTCCGAATTACGCGAAGGGCATCGAACGGGCAAATTCCATCTCTTTTTTCTGTAGAAACGCCCGGATCAAACCTCGAACCCACTTCGATCGTTCTAAATTTTAAATACGAGAGAACGCTCTGGATAGCCATTTTGCGAGCAATTTGGAAAAAAGACTGTAAAAAAATTACATATTATTAACTCGATTGTATCCATCGCTTAATGTCCTCGCTAGAAGGCGCGCGCGAGCGCTTTTCGTTCCTTCCGATACATAAACATTTCTCTTGACGGCGCGGGCGGCCGGCAGGTATTCTCTTGCCCCACCGTCGGCCGCATTTTACCCCCTCTGTCGTGTCAGCCACCTCCAGTTACAATGACGTGTTGGTGAACCATCCCCTCTCCGTCGTCGTCGTCGTCGTCGCCGCCGCCGTCGTCAACGGCAGCAGCGGCGGCGGCGGCGACACCAACACCAACGTCGACCCTATTGCTCCCATCGTCTACCTATGGAGAGCCATAGCAATTTCGCGACGCAAGTTTTGTTTCTCCTTTCTTCTCCGCGGCCTCACTGTTGGAGCACGTCGTCCCGCCAATACTCGAAGCGTGTTTTTCTCGTATAATACTCCGATATTTTTTTCCCCTCTTATTATTATGAGTCGCGTAGCTATTATGGAAAGTTTAATCTACCTACGCTCGTAAATAATGCTATTAAAATTGTCAGATCTATAATGTACAACATAACGTAGATATAATATTGTTGAAATATAGCATAGTTTGAGTAGTTGGTTGTAGTTCGATATCTTCCAACAGTGTGAGAACTTACGAGAGTAATGCATCTCAAACATTCTCAACTCGGAATGATTAAGCGATGTAATAAGATTTTAGGCCGTCGAATATTGTTTGACAATATTAAACAAAAATTATTTTTTTTTTTTTTCTAAGACCGTGATAATGTGCGAATAAACGCAATAAACTGGAAATAAAGGTCCTAAACGATCAAGCTGAATCTCGTTAGTGCTTCAATAATTCGGTGTGAATTCTTTTCCTCATTTTCAAAAATAAATCTGTAACTAAATTTAAAACCATAACTAAAAGTCATCCTGATTTATCATAAAATCGATGGTACTCCATTTTCTCTTTTTCGAATATTGAAGAAATATCGGATACAGTTGAATACACTTAGTTAGCTAGGAACGCCAGCAGACAGTTGAAAACGCCAGACTAAGAGCCGTAAAAAAACAAAAGTACAGAAAGAGAGGGAATGGAAGGACACGAAGAAGAGCGGGGGTCATGTAAAATCGACACGAGCGTGCACGAGCGTTTCCGAGTGAAGCGAGCTGTTCTACATGGAAGAAACGGCGCCGTGTCGTTGCTTCATGATGGAGAGGTAGAACCGCCGAAGCTTGTTTATTCGTTCGAAGATGTCGAAGAAGCGGTCAATGGTGACGCGGTCAGGAGTTCAACTTGGAATAGCTCCTGAACCCTCCACAAGATATAATTACGAGACAGTAATTCGAAACGTAATCATCCCCGTATTTTATCATCCTTAAACTCCTTCCTCGGAATACGATCGAAGATTTATGTGAAAAAAAAAAAAAAAAAAAAAATGGTATCTCGCTGATATAAAAGATGTTACACGTATCGAACATTTGATGGGGGAGGGGAGGGGGGGAGAAGGGAGACACCCCCCCCGTGATTGAATCCTCCTTGGTGAAACTTCCGGTCGTTGCAGTACCGTCATGGCAGAAATCGGCGCGTCGCGAGGAGACGCAGGAATTCGCGATATCGCGCCGCGATAATGGGGGGCCCCCCCCCCCCCCCCCAGTGGGGAGATAAGGGGAAGCGAGTCGTGGGAGAGAAACAACGAGGCACGACCGCGCGCACACCCACACGTGCGATTGCGCGCTCGTGCTCGCGAATAGGGAGAGAGACGAAGAGGGAGCGTAGAAAGGTGGGAACGCAGTCGGCGAGCGCGAAGAGGCGCGAGAGGAAGAGGAAGAGGCAAGAAAGAGAGAGAGCGGGGGAGAAGGGATGCGAACGAGGGGGACGAGGGGGGCGGCGGCGGCGGCGACGGGAGGGCAGAGAGCCGGAGGAAAAGGGAGAGGCGTCTCATGGGAGTTATTCGGCGGATCGCTCCGCGACCAGAGTGATCTCTCGTGAGTGTTGAGAGCGATCGATACGATCGGATAGTTGAACAAGTTCGAGAGCGCGCTGGGTTTACACGCTGGATTGTATTCGGCGGGTATCTTCTCCGGTGGGAGAGCCGGTTTTCTGCCACGGATTTCTCGCTTCGCTGGTGTGGGTGCTGCCGGTGTAAAATCGACGAAGAAATCGCGCGCGGAGAATAAACGTAGGGTACAGAGGACATATATGTACATGCATACGTAACTCGGCGGCTTGTACGCGCGGAGTCGAGTGATCCCATTCGAGTTTCAAGTGCTTCCAGACAAGATTTTAGAGGAGGAGATTGTCAAGTGTGTTCACGAGGCACTGGGCCGTAAAGAACGTTGTCGCGAAAAGTGAGTCTCTTCCATCGATTTGCACGATGAAATGTTATTTTTTTAATTCATCTCTTGGCATGGAAAGTGCGCAATTGGCACGTGTTTGGAGCGCACTTCCACCACCAACGCGTTCCCGCTTTTCTCTGACCGGCCGGCAAAACTCGACGAATCGTACCCCCTTTTTTTTTTTTTTTTCTTTCTTTCTTTACGCCGTTTCTCTTTTATATTTATTAAATTAATCGAGAAATCGACGAAAACAGGAGAATCTGACGATTATTTCGTCATCGATCTGCCGGTCGTATTTTTATTTTTGGACAACTTCAGAGGCTCGAGGCGATAGCGTGAATTACGATGTCGCAATACGATTCCTTCACGACGTGTACAAAGAAAAAGAAACCGGATGATTCATAAAAAGCCTCGAGCCTGAGCTACTTGTATATGTGAATGCGATGTTAAGCGATAGCTCATATATATTTTTTTCTATTCAATGTCACGCATAACTCTGTTATATAAATCGCGAAAAAGTTGTAATCGGATTCGAAACAAAACTTCGTCGCTTAATTGATTTAGTCGGTACGTAACGCTCTCTGTAAATCAACTTTATACAAAGCTGCAGGCTTAGATTACGTTATCGATTGTTGTCAAAGTTGATTTAATACAATAGAAAGAAATATGAGAGCCAAGAGGAACGAGGTTATAAATTTAATGTATTCGCTCTTAAAAGGGAGAACGATAATTATATTTTTACACTGTGCCAATGTAATTTATCAGCCAAGAGTTATAATATTTGCTTATATAAATTCATATAAATACAAATTAATATATAAATAAAAAACAATTAGGACAAATGAAGCACAATATTTTATTTGTCCTCAATTATTTCTATCCGTATTGATTTTTATTTTTATTTTTAAATTTTTACGCGATGTTGTAACTATTTTCTCTTAGCTGGTAAGAAGACCGTAACTGAAACTATTGTTCTCTATATTTTTTAAGAGTGTATACGTTACTTTCGTAACAGTCTTATATACACATTTATTTGGTCCTCGTAATATTTATTATTGCTTTACAAGAATCGGGCTTTTATCCTATTCCTTAATACACAATTCAATTTCTGCATAAATTATCATAATGAGTCGCTGCAAAAGACATGTATGGTAATTCCAACACTTCGGATTACATAAGACAATGTTCGGCTGGTATATATTCACATAAACGCGACCCTTGCGCGGCAAGGACCAACGCAGCGCGCCGAGCGCGAAAACTCGACTTCGCGAACTGCGTTCTGCCGCGGTTACGCAAGTCGGCATTCGTCTATCGTGTTCGCGGAATTTAGGTCAAACGACGTGTCCTCCGCCGCACTATCGGCGGTCCGACGAAACGTCACGAATTCCGCTCGTTTATTAACTTTTTGCTGTTCCATCGCGTCGCGCGCGCGCGCGCTCGCAATGGCGCGCACAAACCAGACGACGACGGCGATCAAGGTGATCTATAACGGAGAAAAATATACGCGTTGACCTGCGAGTAATGCGATCGATTGAGCGGAGTTACTCGTATGAGGCGCTCGGGAAAGAATAAAATATCCACTGGCTCGTTAGGGCCGTACTATTTGCAGAAATTTCATTAGGGTTTAATATAAACGAGAGGAGAATCGTCCAGAATTTCACACTCTAAATTTGACATCGATCCTTGATTATAAAAGAGATCAGCAACTATTTCTTCTTTACTCTTTTCTATAATACTGTCTCTTTATACATCATCTCGTGTTGTATATTAATATTTTACGTGCGGACAGCTTCTAAAATAAATCGCTGTCGAAAGTCGTGTCGCGTTGCATAGAATAAAGGAAAATAAGGAGAGCAACGAGAGACGCGAGTATCGTATGTACTTATACTTTCATTTGGCTTAAGTCAACAAAATGTGAATCACCACGAGTGGAATGGCCGACGCTGACGTTGAAATCGGTTGGCGGCGGCGGCAGCGGCGGCGGCGGCGGCGGTCGGTCAATGCCCACGCGGCAGCCACGTGGTTTGACAGGGCTTCATGCCCGATTATTTCCAGAGCTCTCGGCTCTGGAATACGAGCTCCGTATTAATTGGCAATCCAAATCTGTCAACATTTGCGCTAATCTCGACACGATTAGCATCGATAATGAAAATTGTCACTGTCGATGAGAGGAGTCCTCAAATGTGTGAAAACGTTAACCATGCTCGATATTGCTCTCTATAAGTTCGTGAGAGTGGAATCCTCGCTCTAAAGAGTGAAAACTGGGTCAATCTTGGAAAAGAGTAACTTAATTGTTAATCTTTAAAGGTATAAGATTTTATTCCGCAGAGTGACGGTTCACTTAAAAGTTTTTTGACGAGTGCATTTTCCAACTCTTGTCGTAAAATAATTGTATTTAATATTTATAATGTAGTAACATTGGTCGAAAATGAAGCGCGAAGAACTGTAGAGCGGGAATCGGGTTCTCTCCTCTGTCTTTCTTTGAATCTTGAAAATTCTACGCGCGGATGATCCTGGATAATTGGCCGTTCGCCCACATCTGTATGAGAAGGTGAATCGTAACAAGATCTAAAATAAGTAGACGATGAGAGAGTACCCGCTAATCCGAACCGTCTCTCTGAAAACGGTCAGCCGTCTTGTCTTACACTTTGCTGATCGATGATTGACATTTCAAAGAAATCCCATCATTCCCTTTTGGATATATTCAATGAAGGTTTATCGGCCGAACGTACCTGCATAAAAGCGGCAGCTTTTTCCATTTACTTCTTTCCTTTTATTTGTTTTTATGAAAAAATAAATCTCTCTCCAGAGTTACAAACGAGGGAAATTTTTTATAAAAGGACTTACAACCGTGATTACATTACGTCTTTAGGATCGCCTTTGATTCTGAACGTTCAACGTTCTGTGAAAAATAAAAAGAGCAGTATTTTAATATTTTATTTTTTACAACGCGGTGCATACGAATGGAAATTTCGAAATGCTGATCCAAGCAACTCCCTGGGTGACAAATGTTCCGCAAAGGAAAGAACTCTCCTTGCGAGCTCAGCGTAGGTCCCACTTGCCCCTCCTCTCTCTCCATCTATTTATAAATCGATGTATAATATAATGTATATTTGATGTCGTATAACGAATTTATAGACGCAAAGACGATTTTGATGCTTGATAAAGCCTTGAAAAATTGGTTATGTCATAGCTAGTCAAATTCATAAAGGGAGACATTTGTAAGGAAACGGTGATCAGCTTAGTTGACTGTGCTTGTTGAACTATGGAAACCATTTCAGCCGCCTCGGCCTACTTAAGCCGTGTCGTTATTTTTAGCATTAGGGTCACCACTGCCGTACAGCTAGCTTTAGTACCATCCTTTCTTCCTACGATTTGTATCTAATTTTCTTAAGACCCTTCGCGACTCGGAACATTTTCATGATATTGATTTCAGTCATGCATTCAATCTAAAATTCTATCAACGTACATTTAGATCAAGTAATCTTTTTTGCACAGAGATTTACACAAGATTTTGCATTATTCAAATATACGTCATGTAAATTAGTTTCGGAATACATCTGTACTAAAAATTTTTTTTCGTAGAATTTTAGTGTATATATTGTAAGAGTTTTCTACGAGTTTCTTATTATGTGGAAGACACGTACAAATTAATTCGACAATGTTGTTGCAGAATTACCGGAAAATTGCACGGCAGGTCAGCACACCTGATAACGCACCAGCTGGTCTCGGCAGCCCGCAGGGTGGTATTGGCGGTTTGCAGCAACAGCACCAACAACAAACGCAACAATCTTTGCACCAGCCCGATCCCATGCAGCAAACCAAGGACAATCTCAATCCCGCGGCGAACCAACAAACGGGCGCTCTCAGAAACGGCAACCCGCCACCTGTCGTATCCATGGTAAGTTTTGAACCTCTGTATTCGAATTGTTTACATTACGCGAATAACGATAAATCTCTTCATCTCACGTTGTCTGTTTTATTATAATAAATATTATTGCGAAATAAAAACTCAAACATATTAGATGTGCCAAATTTGCATCTGAGACACCGATTAAGAAAATTCGTAAAATCGGAGGTCTTATAAGCCGCCATTCGTGATCGATTCTTATATTCAAGACTTAGTATCTTAAATATTATTAAATGTTATATACAATCTTAAGATTTCATGAATCACAATCAGAGAGCAGTTAATTTTTAACATATCTTGAGACATTGTTTAGAAATGGTCTCGAAATAAGAACAGACTACGAATATCGGCTTATGTAAGAAGACTTTACAAGGATCACCTTATAAGGATCAAAGCGGGTCGGTTAGGACATGTAAGAACAATTTTAACGTTCGGGAAGCGATGTTGTGCTCGCGACGGTCCATGACTGCAAAGGAATCGACTGCCGAAATAGCGGCGTAACATGGAGGGCAAGGGTAGACTACCGGCAGACAGTGAGTGCGGGGGCGGTGACCGGCCGCCAACGCGAATCAATACCCGCAGGAACAGGAACCACCGACCTACCGAGAGAGACGGAGAGAGATAGAAGAGACGGAGACAGAGAGAGAGAGAGAGAGAGAGAGAGAGAGAGAGAGAGAGGGAAAGAGGAGAACGACGTATCCCGGGGACGAAAGGAGAGAAAGAGAGGAGCGATGAAAAGCGAGCGGTATCAAGAGGTGGAGCAGAGAAGTAACGATACGATAGAAGGCAGGCAAGGGTAGCCGCTCGCGTCGCAGAGGTACGCCGGGGTAGACCATTCCTCGCGCGATTCCTGTATGGAGATTCTTTTAATACATATCGTCCCGTTTTCTTCCCGGCTGCCGATATTTAATATTTTAACAATTCCGCTAGAATTGCGTTTCAAGATTGAAAATTAAATTTTGGCGCGCAGTTTGTAGGACTGGATGTGATTCTCTCTGTGTGAAATCTTCAAAATGGAATTTAACTCTAAAGAGTAAAATCTCACTCTCGAAAATTGACGGTTGAGCCAGCTCTTTTTCAACGCTGGCTCAATTGTTACTCTTTAGAATTCGATTTTAGAGGGTAGTACACACATATATACAATAAATTCACACCGCGCGCGAATTGTTTAAGCGCTAAAAATTGACCGTTTAGGTTCTTTATTTATTACATTTGTATATTCACATTCACGGTTAAAAGATACTCTTCGTAATATTATTAATGACTCTTGCCATTCTTTTTCGTCCGTGGTAACGATTGTGGATCGTCGAAATAATGACTGGTGCTAGGACACGCAATTTGGACGATAAATGAATCGTTTTGCAAACCGCCGTCCGTCTCTATGTGACACGTGAAACTCTCTCCATGTGTATTCTTTAATGAAATAAATTATATATCGATACACGGATCCCCAGACTGTTGCACGATTCGTGATTCGAGGTAATACGAAATTCACAATTTGCTATTCGTATGGGATTTGCGAATAGTGCAAATGGACATATATTTGTCGAATTTGCATTCGCCGTTTACCATTCGTGCCAGTTCGCCAGCGAAGCGGTTTTATCGAAATCAAAGGGCGCGAATCACCACGAATCGCACATAGTCTAGCACAAGCTTAAGAGGGATAATGCACACCGCGCATTGCGTCGGCGATAAAAATTCGTGATCTTACAATTAAAGTGCGTTTTTTTAACGTCCTCTTCATCGACGCGAATCTTTTTTTCCATACAGCGTACGTTGAATTTACCGTCCACTAACATAGGTGCTCTTCAGACAAAAATCAAATTTTTCCAGCAATATTGCAGGAATGTCAATGTTATTTTATAAGTTAGTTCGACTAGGCTATGACACGTAAAAGACTTAACGAGAAGACGTAGCACTGCCAACGTGAAATATTTACAAAATATTTCATTGCAAGATTTGAAAGTTTTCGGAAACTTTTCATAAAATCTTTCTATTAGTGTAAATATTGTTTCTATTAATGTTCAGAAAATCTGAGAGTTTTTGAAATATTCTTTTTCTTACAATATTTATATAATACTTCTAAAATATTTTTGTGAAATATTTCAATGATTTGGATTTACTACTTCTCCGTTATTATCTCGCGTTTTCTATCGTGATTGGCTGATTCACTTTATGTTTTTCTGCCATGAACTTTACAATTAGTTGTGCACATCTGACGTCTCGTCATCGCCATTAAAAGATTCAGTTAAAATTAAAAATCATCAATTAAATATTCAATTAAAAAAAAAATCGATGCGGAAGTTGCAACTAAATCTCGACTACATCATACAATCATGAAATACTATTAATTTACCCGAATCGAAATTGTCAATTAATCGGAACGTGTTCCCACACGCAGTCGCGGTCACCTTAATTTGCATAATATTTCGATATATTTCGTGTATAGCCGTTCCACATTTGCGTAATATGCGTGCGTATAAATGTCCAATTCGTTATCTTTATCATTAGCTTTATAGTTGCAATATCGATATCACTTCCAGACGTAATAAACTTCTACATTCGCGAAATATATGATGATGTACGTCAGAGGCGCACAAAATATAATCCGTTGGTGTGTGTGGCTCCCTTTCCGCGTAGCATTTAAACGCGAAAAGCGTTCTCATTGATGTCTATACGTTCGGCGTTAATTGTGCATTTCGCACGTTTAAACGCCGCTATATCCGACTGCGGCAAACACGTTCGGTGTCGCGCGCGGCACGATAATTGCTAATGCCGCGGCGATAAAGGAATCAACGTTACGGCGGGGCCGTATTCGTCGGAGCGTCCAATTATGCAATAAACCGAAACCGCGAAATGCCGCCGTCCGATCGTTGGCGGTGCGCAAATTGCGAATTGCGTTCCCGTCGCCACGTACATGCGGTTTAGCCGCACGCGAACGCTCGCAGAGAGGAAGCGAGAGGGCACCTGTTCCCTCTTCTCCATCTCTCCCGCGCGTTGAAAATTCCCTCTTTGAGATTCAGGCACGCGTCGCGTTGCATCGATTACGCGGTGACTGCAAACGCGGTTCATCTCTGCAGCCGCGCGCGGTGGATGGTAAGATCGAGAAAACGGGGGAGTGTTGTTGCGGCGGGTGAAGAGCCGCAGTGAAGAGCGACCGCCGGGGTCGACAAACTCTCCTGCGAATATCCGCCGGAAGGGCAACTTGGCTCCCGAGGGTCATGTTTGGGTGCTGTCACAAAACGTTCCGTTTTATCACACCAGGGTCTTAGATTGCCCTAGGTCACGATGCCACGAGAACGGAAGGATTTTCTCCCTGAGGGAGAGACAGCGCGCCGCGCGTGCGTGTGTGCGCGTAAGATGGAAGAGAAGGAGGATGATACCGAGGTATATCCCGTGCCACGCTTGGCGAAACGCCCAGCTCTTTGACGCTATCAGCCTCGACCACAAACACCGATTCACGGCCACTACGAGGGTTCTCAGAGAGAGAGAGAGAGGGTTTCGATTCCCCCAAGCCTTGAGATAAACGACTCTCGGGGATCGAACGCGTTCGGCACGAGCCGTTTGTTTCAATAGCTCGTACGCGATAACGCGTTAAATGTCTGACACAAAGGGTGTTCGCACTTGTATCTTTCTGTGACATAAACAATTACTTTCTGTTATATGCATCTTTCACGCGTATTACTTACATGTGTGTAAACGCGGGACCCTATAAGCCTTTTATCTATTTGCGAGCGCGGTGTGCTTTATCAGCGCTTTAGGATTTTGGAGTCACGCGTGTAATCGCTTAACAGGGGTTACTGCTCGTATGGAAACTCGATAACTAAGCGTCAATTTAGAATGACGAAGCAGATACGATTGTGACAAAAGATCTAAAAACGAACCCTGTTCAAAGATCGAATGTTCATCTTGATCTCGTTTCTAAAGACCGGAACGCGTCACTCGTCAGTAATTTATGGGGCAACCGCTGCGAGAGTGAATGACAAAAGATCGGCTGCGGTAAACGGACGAACGAACCAATCGTCCTGACTCTCGTTTTGTGCAAAGTTTTATAGTCTGGCTGCGAGGTTGCCGGCTCTCTTCGCCTTCGACTCGCATCGTTGCGGACGAAGGTTCCTCTTTGCCTCGCTATGCCTCGATATATCCTTTTTTTCCCTTCGACGCCGTCTCCGTCGTTCCATCCCCGCTCGCCGAGCTCTCTCTCTCTCTCTCTCTCTCTCTCTCTCTCTCTCTCTCTCGTTGGAGAACACGGGACAGGGAGGCAAAGCCGAGAGAATAGTCAGGCGAACGAAAATAAACGAAAGTGAACTCCTCGCACAGCTCCATTTTTAAGCATGTGGTGCGTCATTTTATCTTGGACTGTTGCCGTTATCGTTGTTATTTATTACACGATAAAATAGTTTTACAAAAGTATATGTGTATGCCAGAATTGTATCTGTAGATGTCTGAAACAAAGCACAAGATAAAACGACCACCTCTTATATCCAGACTCCATTTAAATTTTAATCCTCGAACAAAGAATTTCACGATTTGAAAAAAAACAACGTTATACAATGATTCGTCCATTTTCTTTATGCACAGTCGCCCGGAGTGATGCCGTTTTACGGTGATTCCGGCGCCGGTTTCCGTCCCGCAACTGGATTTGGAAATACGGTCTGGCATCAGGGAGTCGGGCCAGTTGGTTCCGTATCGGTCGAATCATCACCAGCACCGTGGCCACCTCAACAATTCATTCAACAGATTCCCGCATCAAATCAACTCGAGGAGTTAAGGTATCACCCTCAATACGGAGGCACAACACCTTATCATCCTCAGCCAGGTGAATAAAACTCAAACGAAATATAATAGCGACACGAAGAAGACAATGCTTGCGTAATAACACTATATGTGATATTTATATTATATAGTTTTCTGGTAATTTAAGAAAAGAAATAAGTTAGAGCTGTCCGAAATAATTTCGAACCGTATATATATTGAGCGTTTTTCGTGAGAAACGTGACTATCTTTGTGTCATGTCATGTAAAATCGCGTGTCTATACCAACGTATTAATTTCAATATTACAGTTCCGTATCAACAACAAACATTTTTAACGGCGGATCAGTCTGCATTTCAACGAGCTGGAACGACGGGACAGTACACCATCACGGGGCAACCTTCACCGTTGACCCCTGTCGGAGGACAGACGGTAGTTTCGACGCCTCAGAGGCAGTTGAATGGGCAATTTGTAGATCCCTCAGCTACCACTAATCAATCAGTCGCTTACGAGCGACAGGACTATGTAAATGGCTATCAACAACAAGTAAGTGATTACATATTAAATATGTAGCTCCAACTTACACTGATGTTTTTTTTTTATACGCGCGGATCCATTTCTCACAATTTTCTCGTATTTGTCCCTATTTCGATAGCCATTCTAAAGAATCATATGAAGCATTTGCAACGAACGCTACACACCGCAAAACGGGGCTTCTTGCAGGACGTGACAATGGCGCCGCCTCCGTCGACAACTCCGACGAGCCGCAGCAGTTCAGTACACATGGACAGTCAACAACAACAGCCACAAGGAGGTCCGCAACAGTCATCACAGCAGCAGCAGCAGCAGCAGCAACAGCAGCAGCAACAACAAACTGGAGCGGATACGCAAGTAAAGGGATTCGCGACGATTGCCGCCACCAACGTGTCGGGAAACGAGATGCCTGGGTATCCACTTCAACCGGACCCACAGAGTTTACACAACTCTAACGGGTATCCAGGCTACGTGGAAATGGGTCAACAATCAACGCAGAACCAATGGCAAATGGTTTCGCAGCAACAACAGCAACATCACCAACAAACACAAATACAACAACAGTCGGTGATCGACAATAATCAACAACATGCATGGTCAGACACAAGTGGAAAAATGAGCAGTAGTGTCAACAGCAACATGAATTGGCAAGAAGGAGCGATGCAACAGCCACAAAAGCCTCTACAGCAACAGCAACAAAATATGCAAGGAAACATGAAGTCTCAGGTGGAACAGCAACAAATGCAATCACAGGAACTGCCAAGACCAGCGAGTCACATGAGCTGGGAGACCGGAAGCGTGAAGGAGCCTCAAACGCCACAATCATGGTCTGAAAACGCCGACAGCCAGCAACAACAAACTCAGGGAAACTGGTCGCAACAGAGTCCGAAGCTAAGGGACCCGCAAAACTCACGGTTGACGCCTTCTAGTCAACAACCGTCTCAACATCAGACTTGGCTACAGCACTCTCCGAAATTGTCAGACCATCAGCACAGTAATGCTCAGCAAAATGCGAGGATGACGCCTTCCAGCCAGCGGAGCTGGCAACAAAACAGTCCGGAAATGCAAGGATCTCAACAGAATCCGAGATTGACGCCTTCCGGACAGCAGATGCAACAACAGCAGTGGCCGCAGCAGACCAAGGTGGAGCAGAATCCCAGACTCACACCGTCCAATCAAATATCTTGGCCCGATACGCCGACTAGTCAACCGAATTGGTCACCAAATAGCATAAAAAGTGATAATAGTCAACAGCCACAGCAACAATGGCAAGATTCGCAGCCCAGTCCTAGACGGACCCCGAGTCATCAGTGGCAAAATCAGCTGCCACAGGAAAATAAACTAGACAGTCAAATGTCTTGGTCGCCTGTAAATTCTGTATCGGAAACTCAGCCGACTTGGGGACAACAGACGACAAAGCAAGACATGCAAAATTCAGGAGAGAGAATTGCATGGCAACAACAAACAACAGTAGATACTAGTAAACCGAACGGATTTCCAGAAAATCAAGATAATCCAGAAAGTCACGTCTATGCTCAATCTAATCGAGTGAATCTTAATAGCCGATTGAAATCGATGATTTTGAATAAGCAGCAGCAACAACAACAACAGCAGCAACAAATACAACAACAACAACAACAGCAAACCCACCATCATCAGATGCAATCACAACATGCTAATACCAACAATGGATCTTCTTCGGAATATTCAGCGGATGATCAAATGCGCGATGCGCATGAAAGTAACGAGAAGATGCAAGAAAAATGCACAGATCATTTTATCAATCAATCAAACATTTCGATGACGCAATCTAATGAAAATTTGACCGGTAATTTTTTATTGCATAGCCACCACCCTCGGGTAGAGAGTTTGCCCGACGGTGGTGGCTTATGGGAATGGACGGAAGGAGAACATAATCACAATAATAACGACATCGATAATAAAGATGATAACTCCATATTACCAGAAAATGGAATGACAGTTTTCGAAAATTTTATGAAGCTCACTGCAGAAAATAAGAGTCCATCATGTGACAAAGACGAGGATCAACATTCCTGGGAGACAGATGGAAGAAATGATAAAGATCAAGAGATCGACGACAAGTCATTCCAACAAAGATTATGCATGGGTCAAATTGAGAGCACGTCTTTCGAGAGGTCCCAAAAGATATCTGAAAATGACGGAATAAAAACTGATAATCTGGGTTTTTTGAAGACGACAAATACCGCCGATCATATATCTTCCCAAGATAAATGCAATTCTGATCGGTTAATTAAACAAGAGACCATCGAAGAACATGATTATGTTCACATATCCCACGATGCGTCCAACATAGTCGAGAACGAAGAGAATCAAGAGATTACTCAGGATTATAAATTTCGCGGCGATGGTGGACCCGCAAAGGTATCGCCAGGTACTGGTTCGTGGTGCTGTCGAAGAGGTGGAACCGAACAGCCGACTCCTGAACATCTAAGAGACGGCTGTTGTCAGGGTCTTCAAACCAAGGATGAAATACTAGACGATTCCACAGAAAAATCCGAGTTAAAGAACGAAGGACCGCACAGTCCGCATACTCCAACTACGACGACTGTGACAACAAAGTTGCAAGATCACTTGGACAAATTGAAGAACAATGTCAGGACCGAAGTACCGGACTGCAACTGCTTCCCCGCCGATAAATGTGAGTTACAATTACGTATTCCGTACTACACTAACATTGAGAAAGCACACTAACCACGAAAGAACACACGGAAGAAAGTTATAAACATACTAATATACATTTTATTACCAATAACACCAACCGGTTATGCATCCTGAAATCCAGAGGAGAATGTGTGTACCTAACGTAACCCCTAGTCGCAAGGTCGTATCTACTACGTGCGCGGCATAAATGTTTCCGCTTCTGTTACTTCCTTTCGTTTACGTGTCAGCTGTTCGTAAATACAATGTGGTTCAACCACAAGGTCCGCCAGAGCCCGGTTCGTACTACACTCACCTCGGGGCAGCTGCAAGTCTGCCTGATCTTCGGAATGATCTCGAACGAAGAACTGGCCTTAAGGGTGACGCGATAAGATTTGAAAAGGTCGTCTATACTGGCAAAGAGGGCAAAACCACGCAAGGGTGTCCAATGGCCAAGTGGGTAAGTCAATTTCCGCAAATAATCGTGTTATTACTGTAGTTAGCAACGATTATAAACATGATATTAGAGAGATGTTATAACAACAGCACCTGTTTTTTTTTCCTTACGCGAAGTTATAACATGAATAATTTGTTAGATCATCCGACGATCCGGCATTGATGAGAAAATCTTAACCGTGGTGAAACATCGTCAAGGTCACAAATGTCCAACCGCTTGGATCGTTGTAGCTATGGTTGCTTGGGAAGGAGTACCGACTCACGAAGCAGATCGTATCTATACTCTCTTAAGTCACAAACTCAATCGATTCGGTCTTCCAACCACCAGGAGATGCGGTACCAACGAACCGCGAACATGTGCATGTCAAGGACTCGATCCTGATACATGCGGCGCCAGCTTTTCCTTTGGCTGCTCCTGGTCAATGTATTATAACGGCTGCAAATATGCCAGAAGTAAAACCGTCCGAAAGTTTCGATTGTCTGTACGATCGGAGGTAAATATCTTGAAGACAATCGAAATGACTAAATAACTAGTTACAGATTGTAACAAAAGAATTGTTTCGCAGGAACAAGAAGTTGAAGAGAGAATGCACGTTTTGGCGACGCTTTTGTCACCTTTGTATCTTAGTCTTGCGCCAGAGGCTTTCAATAATCAAACTCAATTCGAGCGGGAAGCGAGCGAATGTCGTTTAGGATTTAAACCAGGTCGACCCTTTTCTGGTGTTACGGCTTGCATTGATTTCTGTGCACACTCCCATCGGGATCTACACAACATGAATAACGGATGTACCGTGGTACGTGAATTCTATATTTAATTCGATTCGCGAATTTTTTTCTATTATATCTAGAAAAAATGAAATTTTTTTTGTAAGTATTACAATATTTTTTATCACGTTTATCAGGTAGTTACTGTGACAAAACATCGAACATTATCGAAACCCGAAGACGAACAGTTACATGTGCTACCTCTTTATATAATGGACGACACAGACGAATTTGGTTCAAAGGAAGGTCAAGAAAAGAAGGTTCGCTCCGGTGCTCTCGAATTTTTATCTAAGTTAGTATCTTTTAAATGTATTTAAAAATAATCTATATTTAAAAAATTCCTTCACTTAATTATTGATTGTTACGACCAAAGACGTGAGAAGAAGGGAAAATACTATACATATATATAAAACATAGCTTTTGTTTTTTGTTTAGATATCCATGTGAGGTTCGAGTTAGATCGGTACCTCTTCAACCGTGTAGACGTCATGGTAAAAAAAGGAAAGAAGAAGAACCGGATACTCAGACTAGCAAAAAGGATTCAGTCAAAATTATGACGGAAAAAATAGCTGATTCCGGGCGATCGGGACATGTTGATTTTTCTAAACTACAATCGCAGTTAACACTGGAGATGACGCCCATGTTCGAGGGAATTGACGCGCAGTTACAGAGCTCTCAGGTATCATCCACAGTCTTAGACAGTCCGGTATCCATGTATCAAGGATGGGGAGCATATCAAGGTGAGCAACAGTGGAACCGAAACGGCTGGCTCGAACAGCGTAAAAGTAATTGGATGAATTCATGGGGAGAATATCCTTCATTTGGTGGTTTAGAGAGGGACATCAAAGTGGATCCAGACAGTACCAGTTTAGATGATACTAGGCCCAGAAGTACCGTTTCTCAGGAAGAGCATAGACCAGGCTCGAGGAATCTACCTAACTCTACAGTGGATTCAGCCAGAGGATGTTATGGAAGTTCACCTAGAATTCATCCGGTTTCACCTCGTTCGCACATATCAGGAGAGGTGTCTTATAATACATCACCCAGAGGCTGTACCACAACGTCTCAGGATCCGAAAATGGCTTCATTGAAAGGATTGGAACATTCAAACATGGAAAATAATTATGATCATCAAATGACTTCTGGAATTTACACCGCTTCTGTAAACGGACAAAATGACTGTTCTCCCTCAAAATTCGGCTCCCACAATCCATCACTCGGCATGGAGATGACACATCGAAACATTCCATCCAAGATGAATCAACCGCCAGTTCATGTACGCAATATAAATCAAGATTATGTCACTAATCAAATGAGATTACCATCTCCTAAGTATATGGGAGATTTTAATTCGCAAAAATACTCGGATACGATGACACAAAATTACATGGATGCTGAAAACTCTACAAAATTGCCATTACTGAGGCCACAAGTTGAGCAAACATTTGCAAATAGGATGCAACATTTATCTCCATCAAAACAAATGCAACCATCTGTAAACTCTGGCTATCATAATCAATATTACGATGGTAACACGTCAAATTTATATTCTTACATGGAAAATGGTAATCATAAATCTGTGGAGACTCCAAACTCAAATGTTTTGGGACATAACTCCTTGCATTTGCCAGAACAACGAAATGACGTGCAATGCTTGTCGAATGATCAGCGAAAATTCATTTATCACGCGCAAAGACAATCGGAAGTAAAATCCTTTATGAGCAATCATCCTCCATCGCCATCATCTGATCAAGTTTCTTGCCCACAGAATTGGAATATGGCGAATTCGTGGTGTTCCAATCAAGTTAAAAATCCACAGCAATTTGATCAGCAAATGGGTGACAAGAAGATCTGGGTCGGTAAACTAACAAGATCAGACCAAACCAAAATTGCCTGGGAAACGTCATCCGAACCATCACCATTCCGAGTACCAAGAGGAAGACCACCTTCGCGAACAATATCCAATCAGAACTTATCTACGGAACCTAATGCATATCCAAATCCTTTGACCCGAACATTTTTAAAACCTCCAGATTCCAAACCTATTTTTCCGGACGCTCCAAGTAGCAACACGGCCCAAAATGGATATATATCCAATCACTTGAAGGACTCCTGCGCGGAAGATAAATTACGAGAAGGATTTTATGACAACAAGCAAGAAGTATCCAATTCCAATCCAAATTCTTTGCCATGGACTGATGAAGTAAAGCAAGATCTCCATGCTGTGTCTGGTTTAAGTCACCATGCGTTTCCTCAATACGGATATCCACCCTATCCAGTGTTCGAGAAACCTTATACGAACTCATGGGAAGGTTATAACTATAACCATAATCAGTCATATCAAACTCCAGAACAATTCTATCAACAACCAAAACGTGAAGGTTGTTTTCATTCATCTCAATATCCGTATCAGGGCTTGAATCCGGCGTATCAAGGCTTGAATTCTAGTTGGACAAGATGGGATACTCCGCGGTGGGATATTTACGGACCACCACCGTATTTCCCGGTTCTGCCAGAGCCTCCTCCGAAGGCGGAACCACTCGGTGAAATAACGGATTATTCTGAGAATGAAGAATGTTTCAAGGATCCTCAAATGGGTGGTGTTGCGATTGCCTTGAGCCATGGTAGCGTACTCTTCGAATGTGCGAAACATGAAATGCATGCCACCACCGCACTAAAAAAACCAAATAGACTCAATCCGACTAGAATTAGCTTGGTATTCTATCAACATCGCAATTTAAACAGACCCAAACACGGTTGGGATGAGTGGGAGGAAAAGATGCGATTACGAAAATTGGGTATCACAACATCGACTAGCAATGCGTCCGTGTCGACGACCAATCCATCGACTCCAACTACCGCTACAAGCCCCGGTAGTACAACAAACGAAAAAGTGACGCCACTTCCACCACTTTCGCACATTCCAAACATTCCCAGTTCACAGTTCATGATGAGATCACCTACTTACACCACAATGACTTGGACAACGCTCTTCCCAATGCATCCGTGTATGATAACTGGACCGTATCAAGAAGGTGGTGCGATTGGATGAGTCGAGGTTGGACGGTACAGCTTCGATCGTTGATGACCGAAGTTTGTATTGAAATATATGCCATCACCAAGAATCGAATCAGCTATAAAGAATTCGAGAGATAAGATCCTGAAGAAGAATCGAGATGAATCCGATCGAGGATAAAATGATGAGGCGGCGATTTTACCATGAGAGGCTTTATATTGTTATTATCGTTATAGTTAGTTATTCCGAAAACGAGAAACACACACTTTGCACTGCCATTTTTCTATTTCGAGTTTTACGCAAGATTTAAACATAGCGACAAAACGTGCTTGAAAAAAAAGCCTCGCCGAGTGTGACTACATCACCTTTGTCGGGGCTCGCGTTTTATACTGACTTTTTACTGAGTTGAACTCGAAAGAGACTCTCATAATCGAGACAGAGGCTGCAAAATCGAGACAATGGTAATGATCGAGGCTATTGATGTATCAGGAAAGCTCCGATGAAAGCTACGCCTTGCGAAGACTTTGATACGAAGATTTTCGTATTCTGACCCTGTACACTTTAAGTAATATCGCTACGTATAATGGTTTCGTGTTGGTAGAATTGTAATATTACTAGCTAGTCGAAGTCTAGATGATGAATCACGCGATATCACACGTACACATAAAAGCACACATTGAACGTATATGCACTTCAAGACACCCAAGGAAACTTGCACGACGTGATCTCAGAATTATCGCACCTTTTTAGAGACTTCGTAAACAAAACAAAAAGAAAATACTGAATAATTGTGTTCATGTATATGATATCGTTAGTATATGATATCGATAAAAATATCGATTATCAGAATTAAACAAAATTAATAAAAAAGAAAGCTTTTTACGTAAAATATTAATTGTCATATAAATAATAGTAAAAGTAATATTATATATATAAATATACAAATGTGTATATATAATATATATATATTTTATAATATTCAAGGCTTTCTCTATTAATATATCTATTTATATAATATATATATATATATATATATTACATTTATATAATATATTGTTGTACTATATATACTATATTATAACGTTTTAATTAAATTAATATTTTTATCTCGTGTTTAATCAATCGATAACGATATCTCATAACATTTCAATTAAAATCTAAATGCTTTCAAATTCTGATAAAGACAATAGATTCTAATTTCTTTTTGTATCTGTCGAAGTCAAAGCAAAAAGGGCCGATAATTTCGAGAACACCTTTTTACATTTGTTAATTGAATAATTTTTCGCGAAAGTCCAAGCACAATCCTAAAAAATCCAGACGACGACACACAAAACACAATGATCTCAAATCTTTAAATTAATTAAATGATATGTAATGTATATCTCTGATTTCTAGCCTTTGTACATTTCGCTTATTATTCTCGTATTTATTTACGTGTTTGTACTCATAGCTAAGTACTAAGTACGATTAATTCAAGTGGCATGCGATATAATACTAACCATGCGCCCTTCGGGTCGGCTGAGTACAAAGCATTTATCTAACAATCACGTGACGCGTAGGTAGAGGTGTATCTAATGGTCGGCGGTATATGCTCGATACACCAGGTGTTGTCTTCATCGTCATTTCTTGACGTTCTTCCCTTACTGCTTGCTCCACCTTGTTTGATCCTTTTTACTCGAACCAACAATTAGTTAATAGTGCGATTTTATGCTAGCTTGATGTTTGCAACAAAATTTGATGTTATTAAAATTTAGTAAATCTATTAGAATGTTTATACAAATTAATTTTTCGTACAGTAAATTAAAAATTTATTTTTTAATACGAAAAATAATTATTACATTTATGTTTAATGTTTCATTAAAACGAAAGAAAAATGGTCGAGAGGTCAATCGGTTCGGTGCGACAAAAAGGAATTCGATTGGTTTTCTGAGATTCGACGCATTATTATTGAAGATATCATTGAAGAACCAGTAGAAACGAAAAGATTCAATTTGTAATACTTTATCCATTATCTTCTTTATTATCTTCAATTTTATTTGTATATATTAATCGTCTTTTAGTCTAAGCCTGTTGCAAGCGGCACAAGGCACAGCAAGAGGATCCTGCTGATAATCTTTAAAGTTCAGGGATAATCGACATGGCCTCTGGCAGTGTGCTTTCCGATGGATCAAACGTCTATTGTCATCATTGAGAGGATCTCGATATGATAGATTGTTGCTTCTTGATGTGACATATCCAGGCTTTCGCTTTTAAATCATAAAAGTTTTCAAGTTCAGAAGAATCTCAGACGAAGATCAGAGATGCACTCTTTGTTCTCCATTACGCTCTCATTAGATTGTCAGTTATTCCTAATAATGTGACCAGGGTTTTCCGCCTTCTGTGTTCTTGTCTTCACATTTTCCATATTTTTTTCGTCACTTCTATTCAGAATTCGAGTCTCTTTCGAAGAGAATGAGCACGAGGTTTCGCAATGTCTGATCTTTATCGAAAGCCTAGAATGTCACCACTTGATGGTAGAGTTTAAAGGGTGCTTCCTTTGGATATGGCACTGATATGAGCTAGCTGAGCGTGAGGGGTTCAACCTGTAATGCCAAGGGTCAATAATTAGGACAGTAAAACTTTTCAGAGAGCAGCTCGTTATCTCGAAATCCATCGTTTGTCTCTAGTGACAATTAAGCTGTAAGATAGATTGTCGCGAAGGATTGATCGAGGAAAGGTCGAGGCAACTAAAAGTTCCAGCAGGATTAGTTATCGAGGAGGTCCATTTATTTATTTATTTTCGCTACGTTTATTTGCGGTCTCAAGGCCCAGCTACTTCTAATCGTAAGCTTCTTACGATGATCGTAATGCTCATCTTAACCGCTATCGTAAACTCGTCGCAAGAGTTGGTTCCAACTTCAACTCTTATGGGTCTTCTACAATAAGCTATAAGTCATTAATCGGAAGTAAAAAACTAAAAATTGACGACTGTGATTGGTCCATTTCTAGCTTATGACTTATGATTTGTGACTTACGGGTTATTGTAGAAGGCCCATTACGATTACGATGCTTGTCTGGCGTTACGATAGCCAATGGTAATGCAGTCTTCTCACAGTGCGAAGGAAATAAGGTTATAGGTTTATTACGAGAACGTTTAACAGGCCGAATCCACCATCTGCGATATCAGCTCACCCTTCGCCCTGATGAAGTGAATGGTACGGTTCACGAAACGTTGGCATTAACAATGAAGAAGGACACGGTGATAACCCGCAAACCTTCTGGTATAATTGAAGAAAATACCCGTGAAAGCCTCAAAAACACATCTGCGATATCGTTTTTTTCGAAATTTGATCACTAAACATAATTGTATTATTAATACTGCAACACCCAATAATTAATTCATTCTCCATGACGCAAAGGGATACACATAATTTCGCTATTAAGACATTGCGATCTACATTACGAACAATATAGACAGATATTATTACGATAGCTTTTTTCCTTACGACTACGATCGCTTACGATCGCTTACGATTGCAGCGTTACGATAGATGTAGCTGGGCCTTAAAATAAGCGTAGCACAATTTTTAAAACGCAAAATTTGTATTTTAGCCACAGACTTCTATATATAGAAGTCTGTGATTTTAGCCCATAACGAAGAGTGAATTGAGGGCAGGCTTTTGATTTTGGTTCGTATTCACCGAGTCGAGTCCTTTTGAATCCGCAAATCGGTGGAATGAAGAAAGAAAGAACCAAGACGCGACCAACCCTCGCCTACTGGAGTATTATAGGAATCATTAATATATTATCATTCACATTAGTTATCGCATGTAATAGTAATAGTGATAATAATAATAATAATAATAATAATATCGGCAACAGTAATAACTAGTAATGTAATCTAATTTAATGTATATTATATATTTATTAATTAAGTTTGAGAACACGGTATTGTACCGTTTTTTCTATTTTCGGCAAGCTGGCGACTTGACTTTCGGTTGAGATTGTCTGACTTCCCGTGCACCGATCGATCGATGTTTTCTATTATAACACGTAAAAAAATTTCAATATGTCACGTCGATTTTTTGCTCGTATTACTCGGAACGGCCTCACAAATTTCAATCGGCGGGGATAACAAAAGTAGTCAATCGAATGACTTTTTTTATTTTCCTATTTATTTTATCTCGAATTTATTGTCTCTCGATTCGCACAGTTTCATAAAGATAAAGTCAACTAGAGATGAATAAATAAAACGGAGAATTTTTGTACAGTCGATCAAATTAAAAATCCGTCAAGGAAAATTTAGGCCACTCACTCATTGTCAGACGTGATTAAGTCACCATACGTCTCGTATTGAATTCAACATTCTCATTCCCTCTCGATAAATTAAATATATAAACGTATTTTTGTTCTCCCTGAGTTCGCTACCACTTCTTCTCTTCACACTGATAGACACACGTACAGATATGGTAAAATGAGACGAGATAATTTCGAGCGTGACACTCGTTTCTTTCGCTTACACACGTATACAACACGCGATACACCGTTCCATTTTTCCAGATAAGGGCAGCAAGGACGGTAGTGAGAGTACAATGTAGAATAGCATCGGGCTCCCCCCCGCATGGCTTTTTCTCTCCTTTCCTTTTTTTCTTAATGTATGTAGCGAGATGCTATATATTGTCCTCCTCCTCGTATTCCGCCAGAAATGACAATACAACAAAATGCGGCGCCTTTGTCCGAGTTTCAATTAATTAAGCGTTTCATAATATGATCATTCTCGCGGATCCAGCGAGCGTCGCGCGACAGTGTTTCAAAATCTATTCTTCGCACAACAAGAGGAATGTTAATTCCTTTATGAGAGACTAATGGTGCTTTCCAGTAAACGACACAATGTGACAAAGTAATTATTTCTATTTAACATTAGCAACAAGGATGTAATGATTCACTTTTGTTACACTGCGTCATCTGTATTTCTTGCTGAAAAACACCCTTTGATCTCTCCCTCGCGCGACAAAGATTGATTCGTGAGCCACGTTACGACTTGATCCATGAATCGTTCGTCGAGAAAGGAACGCGAGTTCTCATGACGCCCGATGCAACCGCATGCAATCGTGAAAAGAAATCAAAATTCCACATCGACTTCCGAAAATGTACCCTTAGCCACGTAATGCACCCCGAGACATCATTGTGCGAAACTTCCAACTGTCTATAAGTACATCCTAAGAGATGCGTTATTCTTGCTGAAAGAAAAAAAAATTTTTTTACAAAGCGGAAACTTCTCGAAAATTATACAGTTCGACGATGCCAAAATAGTATTAAATGATTAAGCGAGCGTTTGTAATAACAATAATTAATGTTATCACGAGCGAAATAATGACTTGTCCAACAGTACAGGCTGATACGCAACGACTGTGGTATTTCAAGAACGGTGATATTTCTCGTTAGCTGACGCAAAATCTGTCAAAATCTAAATATTTTTTTTTCAAATAGAATGTCTTACTGAAATTTGATTAATAAAACGCTAAACAAGATACTCGCGCGATTCTTCGACTCGACGAGTCGTTGCGTAGATTCCTGTACAAGGAAGAAAAAGAAACTCGAAATCCGATCAATAGAGGAATTAGCGAAAAAGAGGAGGGAGGGGGAGAGGCGGATTAAGAAAGAGATAAACGTTGAAGAGTGTATTTTTTCTTCCAATGCCAAAAAGATGCCATTTTGTTTTGTACGAAAAAACTAGCGAGAAAATCCAGAAAAAAAAAACAGAGAAAGAACGAACGTAGCGAGTGAAGAAGGACGAACGAAAGTGCGAGAGCAAATTTTTTAAATAGTTCGTAGCATGCGTATGGATGTGTAACAATAAATAAGCAAAAAGAAAAAAAAACAAAGCGATACGAAGTCAACAAGTCGGTGTATATGTAAGCGAAATCTGCTTACAAGCCTTAATCTATCGATTGTCGGGGAAACGGAGTGCTGTTCTCAATTGCGAATAAAATGCAAATTAGTGAATGGAAGTGGCTATTATTCATCAAATCCAAGACCAACACCGGTTAACATTAATCCGCGCGATCGAATGTTAATAACTTTTCCTTCACTGATTATGAATACCGCTCAACAGTAAAAATGCGAAAGAAGATAGAAATGCACGGGATCTAGTAAACCGGTCTGTTGATGGAATTTATGGCCCGAATTCATAAAGATATAAGGATGTAGTGTTACGTATACACCGACCGTATATATGTATATATATTTTTGGATAAAGCCATGAAGAAATTTTAAATCGAAATTCGGGCGGGGACGCGCGAGAACGTAATTATCTCTCGGCGAATTCGCAGTTTCTCGCAAAATTGACGAGACACATTCTTCCCGAGAGCGAGAATGAGAGTAAGAATGAGAGAGTGAAAGAGAGAGAGAGAGAGAGAGAGAGAGAGAGAGAGAGAGAGAGAGAGAGAGAGAG